CTCTTGCAAAACGCCTATTTCGTTGTGCCTGACCTCCCTGTTTTGAGAAGACGGGGCTCAATGCCTGGGCCTGAGGGCCCTTTTGCAGTTCACATGCCCGCACTTCTTTTTGGGGTCCGCTTCTACCCGGGGACCGGTGCAACGCCCCCCACTTCTTTTTGGGGTCCACTTCCACCCGAGGACCGGTCCTTCCTTTTGCCAAAAGTCCCGGTTCTAGAAGAGCTAGCTGTAGGTAGTCCGCAATTTTGCCAAGGACCGATCCCCAAAAAACATGTCCCCTAAGAACCCACTTTGCGTCCTGGTCGCCCGCCACCGAAAATGCGACACCTTGACACAGACGCGAAGCACACTATACCACAGCCTAAGGGCTGCGAACACCAAGCTTGCCCAGGCACGTACGTGAGGCCAATGGGGATTGAACCCACGACCCCGTGAATGCAACTTCTGTGCCTTACTTCGTTGTAAACATGAATAAATTGAGAAGAAATCGTTTTTTACACATTATTAAACACGGAAATGCTGCCACACACCCATTTACTCGATGCTAGTGGGTCCCAGGTCCAGAACTCGTGTGAAAAAAAAAAGAAAAAAGAAAAGAACTCGTGTGTGACGGCACGGGCATATATATATGGTACCAAACCCCCCAGATATTTTCGACTTTGCGTGTGAGTCTTCGCAGAGAGTTCCTCACTACGGCGTTGAAGCTGCAATGACATGACATGACATGACATGTCAACATCTCACGAGTATCCCACTGGCAAAGAGGATTGGAAGAAGTGTCTGAATCTGGACGTGTTCCACGCAGAGGTGCAGAAAAGTAGATCACTTCACAATGTTTCGCACCTGTCCACAAACACGTCCACATTCAGACACTTACTACAATCCTCTTTGCCAGTGGCATTCAGACACTTAGGGCCAAATCCCACTACCTTCTTCCCCGGAATACAACGTACGGTCATTATATCTGTATCTAGACTGAAAGATGCCCCACATACGGCTATATTGACCGTACGTTGTATTCGGGGGAAGAAGGTAGCCCCTATTGTTCATTTCTGACCGTTGATCTTCGTAATCGAGGGTGAAAAATGAATAATCCAGGGTAGTGGGATCTGACCCTTACTACAATCCTCTTTGCCAGTGGCATCTCGCCCTAACAACAGGTAGTGAGACAAAAAAAAAAAAAACCCGGTAGTGAGCTTACGGTCTCGCTGCACGGCACACCGAACGAAAACGAAACGAGCGCATCTGCCCACGAAAGGAAATACACTCTTTAGAAAGAAAAAAAAAGAAAAAAAAAGAAATACACTCTTTACTATTTATAGCAAACCGATGAACCATGCCATTTTCTGTCGGAAGATGCACTCGTTTCGTTTGTCGTTTCGTGTCCCGTGCGGCGACGTGCTCAGACCAGTCGATATCGGGCTGAAGGGACGAGTTCAGCGGCAAAATTCGTACCTGCCCGGGTCGAGGTCCCACTAGCAATAGCAAAGAGGATCGGATCGAATGCCTGAATCTGGACGCATTTTATGCAGAGATGCAGAAAAGCAGTTCAATCTCGATTTCCTGCACATTTCCAGGACCTCGTCAAGATTCAGTTGGCGAGCGGGCTTCCGCGGCCCCACTCCCCTGACCAGACAGTTGGCGCCCCCCCCCCCTCCCTTTTCCCCAGGCCGTCTTTTGCGGGCTCGGACCGCCCGGTCCCGCTGCTCGCGCTGCTCGCGCTGGTGGTCGCGCGCTCCGCTGTTATGATTCTTCGAGCGTGGGTCGCCCTGAAACTGCCCCCGCGTCCTTCGGGACATCCGTTAAAATTGGAACGATACAGAGAAGATTAGCATGGCCCAAAAAAAAAAAAAAAAAAAAGAAACTGCCCCCGCGGAGGATATCACGTCCTTCCCGCACTTTTTCTAGGAACGTTCGCGGGAATGTCGCTCGGCGGAGTGTACAGCCGGGCTAGGTCCCACGTGCACGCGGTGCGCCCTGATGACGGAGAACCGGCTATGGCGCCACCATCGTTCTCGTTCTTGTTGCTGGCCATCTTGAACTCCATGCTGACTGCAGGCTCTTTCGCGCGTGACCTCTCCCGTCTTCCTCCCACACGTTCTCGCTCTCGTTCCTGGCTGAGCTGCCAGTCGTCTGCCACGTGTACGTTGCTCTTAGCCGCCATCGCCGTCGCCATCGCTCTCTTCTCGGATCTGCCCATTGCATTGTCGAAAGAATGTACCAATATTCCAACTCAGCCCAAGTTCTTGAACAGCAATCTGCACAACTTCAGTCAGTCTTTCCCCTTTCTTCAACCCGATCTCGCGACTGCGAACCCCCCGGGATCCCGATCCCCTCGTCGCGACAGACTTCTTCTTCATCATCATCATCGTCATCATCATCATCGTCATCATCATCATAGCTACTATCGTCTAGAGGATGTGCTGGCAAGGGTTCGTCGAACTCTCACTGAAACTTCGTTGGACAAAGAACCTGTTCCGCGGCAAGGACACACGGGGAACATCGTGGCGAAGGGCGAGGGTGCGAACTCTCACCGAAGCTTCGTTGAAGATTCATCAGATGTTTCGTTCGAATTCAAGTCGTCATCGTCCTCCTCTTCATCGTCACTTTCATCATCTCGCCGAAGCTTCGTTGAAGATTCTTCCTCGTCGTTAGCCTTTCTTCACCCTGTCGAATTGCATGATGTGCGGCTGCATCCAGATTCACCGCAAGGTGTGTGTGTGTGTGTGTGTGTGTGTGTGTGTGTGTGTGTGTGTGTGTGTGTGTGTGTGTGTGACCGACCTCTCCCTCCTGAAAAAAAAAGAAAAAGAAAGAAAAGAAAAAAAAAGAAAAAGAAGAAAAAAAAAGAAAAAAAAAAGAAAAAGAAATAAAAGAAAGAAAAGCCCCTCCTCCCCTTCGCTCTCTTCCTACAGACGATGCCAGGCAAGCTGTCCGAACGGTATTGCGCTAGTTTTTATTGTTTTTAAATTATTATTATTATTTTTTGCTTTTTGCATCTGATTGTGTTTGGATTTGATCTCACGATCTGTTGATTACGAATAGTGACACGTGTGTAACCAAGGAGGGGAGGGGAATTCAAGAAAATACCGCTGCGTCTCTTGTAGCTCTTTCTATTTGCAGTTCATTGCTTGTTTTTTTTTTTTTTTGTGTGTGTGTGTGTTCCCGTTTACTGTCGATTCCCCCCCCTCTCCCCCCCTCATTTTCGTTCTCATTCCCTTTTCTCCTCCCCTCCCGGCCCCCCCCGCCCGGCGCTCCTCCCCTCGCCCTGGCGCAATGTCTACTTCCTACAACCTATCTCCGTCCCTCTCCCTGTACCACCTCCCCCCCCCCCCCCCCTCCCCCCCCCCTCTCCTCCCTCGCTGGCGCTCCTCTTCCCTTTTTCTTTCCCGCGCGCTGGCCTGTTGCCCAAGGCTGACATCCCAACCATCGAATGGCGATCCCAACCAGATGTGATTTGGATCGACTCCGAACCCTTTTTCTTTTTTCTTTTTTTTTTGAATTGGCGACGGCCTTGTGATATCATCATCATTGAAGCTGACCGCCCGCAGGTAATTTAGAATTATGTTATTTCTGGGCATCTGATTGTATCTGGATTCGATCTTGGATCTGTATTTTAACCGTTCGTGGGTGACCAACTGAGGAGGAGACTGCAATCAATCCGACTGTTGAAACACGCCTGAACTGTTGAAATACAAGATTGAAATACAGATTTGAAAAAAAAAAACAAAAAAAAAAACAGACTCGTTAGGAGACCCTGGGGGTGTCCTCTCTCTTGCTATCAATCTTGTTAGGAACCAGATCATAGACCTAGTTGCAAAATTGTCCCTCAAGATTGATAGCAAGAGAAAGGACAAATGTCCCTCTGCACGCGGAGCTGCACGTTTGAGCGATATACACGTATGTAAGAAACGATTTTTCATGGAATGCGTGTGAAGAGCAATGTGGCCATTGCTTACCTCCTTCTTCTTCTTCTTCTTCTTCGGAGTTCAATAGGTTCTTTCCAAAAAGAGAAAATTAGTTGGAATTAAAAAAGCAGCAGTAATCCGTTGAAGAAGCCAATGTGCCAATCTTTCTCTATTAGCTTTCATTCGTTAAAGGAAAAAAAAAACATAAAGGAAGAAAAAGAAAAAAGAGGGAAAAAAGGGAAAAAAAAGATAAAAAAAGGAAAAAAAAGGAAGAAAGGGTTCGGATTGATTGCAGTCGCGTCCTTTCTTCTGTCTCAGGTCATCGATCTGGTTGGGAATCAACCCGAACCAGATCATAGGCCTAGTTGCAAAATTGCCCCTCTGCACGGGCAGCGGCAATTGACCCTCTTTCCACTCTGAAATAAGTGCAGCTGCTTGTGCAGAGGGGCAGTTCTGGAACTACCATCTTCTCCCGAACATAACGCATATGCGTTGTGAAAGAAAACAACTCATAGAAAGACGCATATGCGTTGTGAAAAGAAAACAACTCATAGACTGCTTTCTATTCGGGTGTAACGCATATGCTGTTCTATTCGAACAGCCGGTACATTTGAATACAACGCATATGCGTTCTATTCGAGCCATCGATTTCTATTTCGAAAATTCGAATACAACGCACGTGCGTTATGCTTGAATACAACGCGTATGCGTTCTATTCGAGTCATCGGTTTCTTTTTCGAAAAGTCGAATACAACGCACGTGCGTTATGTTCGGGGGATGACGGTAGGTGTATGATCGGGTTCGGGTTGATTCCGAGCTAGAGTGATGAGGGGCACGACTGCCTAAGTACATAATTGCCTGCCTTATTGCATAATTGGCCCTCTGCACGCGGAGCTAGAGAAAGGCTGAAAGGACGCGACTGCCATCGATCAATCTGGCTCCGCGTGCAGAGGGGCAATTATGCAAGTAGGCAATTAATTAATTCGAACCTACAAAACTTCCTGAGCTCTCTCTGAAGACGTGCAGCTCCGCGTGCAGAGGGGCAATTATGCAATGATTCTTATAATTACGTATTTCATCGTTCTTTTACCATGCAGAATATGAAAATTTTTGATCAAATTATCAATGAGATTTTTATATGTAAAATTGATATATCTAAACAGAAAGTGCAAGATCTTTTAAATACAATGATATTGTTTTTCTAATTTTTTGTTTTTGGGTGTGAGTTCAATTACTTAATTAGGTGTATGATGATCTGTGGCCAAGACTTGTCGATGGTAATCACGGAATGTCGTTTTCTAAGAGGGGCATTTCTGAGAGTGGCAATCCCGTCCCTGTGCATAAAGCGGAGAAGTAGGGCCTCACTCCACTGCACAACACTGCATACGCATCTGGAGCGCATAATGGTCCCAACACATAAACGCTTGTTGAATGCACGTGGTCCACAAACCGTCCAGATGGAGCCAACTTCTTGAGGGAGAAGTTGGGCCGTGCGCTCTTGATGCCCTCAAGAGCGCAGGTACGCCGCGCATACGCACAAAGATACAGAGATCTCGATCGACAGATGGGGAAGCGCACGTCCCAACTTCTCCCTCAATCCCGCCCCTCCTTCCTCCTCCTCCTCACCCTCCCCCTCCTTCCCGTGTTCATCCCGCCTTGCCTTCCCGCACGTGCAGGTTCTTTCTCGGCGTTGGCAGAAGTCAACCCCTCCCTCCCTCTCTCTCAAAAGACAGAAGAAAAAAGAAAAAAAGAAAATAAAACGAAAAAAGAAAAAAAAA